TGAATTATTCTTCGTCAGGAATACGAACTGTGGCATGAACTTCTTGGATGATTCAGGAACTGTACTCAGTATCATACCAAAATCAACGTCCCAGGCGGGACGATAGCATTACATCGTCGCGCTTCAGACTGATCATAAAACCTAGGCCACGCCTTCCGGGGTGGAGACACTGACCATTGCGTTGCTGGAAAACGTTTCGGAGATTTATAGATGACTTGTTGCATGAACCGCCATTTCCGAAAGTGAAAGTTTATGATTATTCATCTTTGACCCAGATTAAAACACTTATGAATGCCATGTCTGAAAAGTATCGCACTAACTAGAAAACAGCGGCGTGACAGTGGGAAACCATTGAATTAGATTACTTGTAAGACTGCTGGTTTTCGATTGGCTCCAACCAGAATTAACGCTAACAGATGTTGTATGGCTATCAATCCTCCCATACATATGCCTCGGCCCCACTATCTGGTAACTCTTTAGCCTGACCGACTTAACATGGTGGCCAGGGTGCTCTTAACACCAGTCCAACTAGGGAAAGAAGAATATGACACATACTACTGTTCGAGGATATTTTTATTAATGATGGTATGAAGAGAGTGTACTGATATACAGTCACACCACAGCCAATCTCCCGTTACTTGAGGACCCAACTGACCGCCATGTGATCTAACCCTCACAGAAAAACAAACTGACCACTGTTGGTGAAACGCCTGAGGTTCAAATAAAATGACGAACATGACAACCAATTAGAGTTAGTGTATCTTGGGAAGGAAACAATGGAATTTCTAGGCCCTTAACTGACAGCACTGGGATCTCACCAATGTCCAAAATGGTGGATACCATCAGGCAACATCCACTGTGTCATTCATTCGACTATGAGGTTTCCTGGGGTCGATCAACCTCTATTTTGGAAACCGACTTTCATATCACAAAGATTATTCAAATTACCAAACGACTACTCGTAATGTTTTGGAAGACTATTGGGATTTATGAACCTTTATTTTCGAAGGCACGGCAGAGAGTAAGGGAATTGGGCGTACGTTGTCAAATAAAGGGAATCGTATTCATCGTTCGTAAGATGAAGAAAAATTCACAAAACATAAAGTAGGCATAGTTCCTGCTTGGTTGCTTGTTCCATTTTTCTGAATGCCCCAACTATTTACTACATCTGAGAGGCCATAGCATACCGTGTTGTGGAGGCTCTACACCATCGATGCCTTATTTTTAAGGCACACACTCCCTGACTGATGCATTAAGTGGGAAACCAAAAGACTTCCAATTGTGAGAAGAGACGCCTTATACAACTGCACATCTGAAGGACGTGATAGCAAAAGCCAAGGCCCTGAAATATCCTGATTCGTGTGGTGTCGCACTGATGCCAGATGCATCCGATAAGGTTGTGTGGGTAGCTCTCGATCGTTTGTTGAAAACAGCTGAGGACTGGCAGCACTTTCCTAAACAGCTTAATTCTCCGGAAATAAGGAACTGTACTTTTGGGAATAAATTACTTGCGACCTAATTAGTAGCCAAACACTCACGAAATGATGGAGGGCAGTCCATCACAGGTCTCTAACGCACGCGCTCGGAGAGAAAACAGACAAAATACTCACAATACAAAATTTGTCATCTTGATTTCACATCATAGTTTGGCAGTGTTATGGGGCACGTGGTGAAGGGGGATGACTCTGTGGCAGACGCACTGTCTGGAATGTACGTGAATGCCGTGCAACGAACCACTATAAACTTCGAATCACTTGTCGAACATTAAAAGAACGACGAAGAGTTAACGGAAACCCTCACTGCAAGTAACTCTGTCATCAAACTAGTAAAACCCATCTACTGTAAATAACAACTTGATGTGCTGTGGCATAACGACTCAGAACCTTCGTCTCTAAAATTACGAAAAAAGCTCTATTCATTAACTTCCTTTACATCCAAACCGAAAGCTCAAGCCCAGATAATCTCTATCGGACCTATAGTAAAGCGTGCTGAAGCAGGCTAGACAATGCGTATGATGCCAGAAGGCCAAAGTAAATAGGCACACAGTGTCACGTTTAGGAACCCTTCAGCGCAGGGATATACATTTCACTCAAACCCACGAGGATTTCACATGCATTCATGGGTTCACCAGGTTTCCAGAGTCTGCAACACTTACCCATGTTGCAGAGAAAGCAGTTGCAAAGGCTTCTCTTCGACACTGTGTAGCTGTGCTCGGGGCGCTGTAACGACAGCAACTGGTTGAGGTGCTCACTTCGTGACAGAGATTTTCAACAACTTGTCCAGTTTCCTAGGATCACACAAAATCTCCTCCACAGCATGTTGCTCTCAAGCTAATGGGATGATAGAACGCTTGCACCAACAGTTGAAGCCCGTATCAACATTCCACTCTAACCACTTCACTGGACGGAATTCCTTCCAGTGGTAATGCTTGGTATCCGGATGTCACTCAAACCCACGCACAATGTTCAACATTTGAATGGGAAAATAGAGCTTAGTTGCTACGGTAGAGCACAATCATATTCTGGGTTTATCTGATAAAGCGTTATTTATTGATGACATCCAGAGCACGATTTATTGGTCATAATCATATCACATCAGTCGTACTTGTGAACAAGCTGAGCTGTGATGTGTATAAATTACATGCCTATTTTCCTTATAGAATGAAGTCCTCTTTCAGATAATGCTTAAGAGGAAGAAGCTAATTATTGGGGAATTGCGACTTTAAAGATGTAGCTAATAGACTAGCTCCTTGCAGTTCAAGATCATAGAAAGTCGGAATTCGTGAAAACAACTACGAACTGACCTTAAAATTTCATTAGTACGTGTTCCAACTGTTTAATTATAGGATAATCAGTGAATCACTATTCAGGTTAGAGGCTGAAGGTGCTGACATTCACGGATAGTACGAAGTATGCTAACGCAGGTTATGATACCCACAACTCCAAAAGTATTCGTTCCGCGTAAACCAAAGGTAAAGCAAAACACTGGAATTGATCGGCCAAATTATGAATTATACTTCGGGACCGAATCGGAGTGCGAGATGATTGCTTGACTAGCTAGGGATCGTGCACAAACGTGACACGATGGAGTACCAAATGGCGTGGATGCTTGGTCATGAGTCTTCAAATAAACAAGTCGACTAAAACAGTGAGGGTCAGCATCCAATGTTCAGTGATGAATGCTGTGGCCAATATTTTGGGGGAAATTACCTACAACTACAAACTTCTTTAACTCCTTTTTAATATTTCAGGAGCTTTTTGAGGTTGGTAAGTAAACGCCTGTTCGCCCGTCAGATACATTTGTTGGGCAGCCTGCTCACGGTAGTTCCTAACTTAATTTTAGCATCAGTTTATCCAAATCATGCCTACTGGTTTAGCAATTTGGGTTTCCAAGCCCAGAAGGAGCGTGCTAGCTATCACTCCAGTATCAAAAGCAAAGGTAGCCGAGCGGGAAATACCAGGCACTCATTCTCTAGTGGAAACAGCACCATTGCAAAAGACAGATAGAACAACCACTTCCAAACGTTGGGACATTTTTAGCAGAAAATTAGAGGAATAGGTATCAATGAATACAAACTCAGTCTCAAACTCTTATACTCAGCTGTTACAATAACTATAAACAGATGAGCTTTCGAATCTTCATCCCGACTATAGAGACTATTTAATTCCTTTGCAAACCCTTGGAAGACAAAGCCTTGAGTGATGGAATACCGATTTCCAAAATTATAGAACTTCTGCTTAGATGTACCTTCAACGCCCAATTTACACTGAATGGTTAAATTTACAAGTCACAAGAAAGTGTATCTTTAAAATCACCTTTAGGTTCATTACTTGCAGACATTTTCAAGGCAAGTTAGAAAAATGGTGCGTTGAAAACAACTGCTGACTGGTATTTCTCTTTACAAAAGGTTTGTTGATATATTTACCACTTGTGCATCCAGGGGAAAAACGAAATCCATTCATGACACTATTCTATCTCATTTCATGGATACAGAACACATGATTGATGTTAACGAGACGACTTCCAAAGTCATCTACCGTATATCAACTAATCTTCACTTTATATCAAGTGTTCGTCTACTACATATTGTTGAGGCTAGCTGTTGGGATCTACATTAAGAAACCTAACTTATGCATCGAAAACAAGTTGGTTGGTCCAGAAACTGTCCTTACCTTAGTCGTCAAGGTTTTAATAGTACTCAATTTGTTGTGGAAATTTCCTTAATTTTATTTTATATTCTATTTGTCATTACATTTTTATGCTCATTATAACTTATGCTTAACAGATCAGCAGGGTGCAGCAAGTTGGGTGTGAGGATAAATACTCGCCGAAGACATTGGCTAGGGGTCGCGCTATGCCGTGAATTGGCAGAAGTTAGAATTCATGGGCCATTGGATCGGGTCCCAGTGGCTTAATGGTATACGAGCTCACCTTGTAACCAGAAGGTCCTGGGTTCGAACCCCGGTGGTGGGTGCGTACTGATGAAGGGTCCCAAACTAGGACGAAACAGCTGTCCAGTACTCCCGGGTTTTCCAGTGGTTCTCTAACCGATGTCAGCTCATGATGAAATCCTGTAACAGATCAATAATATTTAAAAACACTAATATTGTTAACGACGATACGCACATAACTGTACAGCCAGAAGGGCAAATTATAGAAAAGGATATTCTTTGATCAATTTAAAAATTGTTTTTAGTTAAGTAGTTAACCCCAGGCCAATGGAAAGACGTTTCACACCAAAGTTTTGAAACCAGATAATGTCAACTGAGTGTAAACCACATGAATCTGAGTTGGAGAACGAAATCAAAATACTTCAAATATTTACATAGTGGTGTTTTATTTAAATTGTTCATCTCATAGTAGAAAAAAGATTATACAAATAAATTTCAATACACCTGAGGAAAAGCCACATTATTTACACTCTAATTTCTAAAAAAAGACGAGAAATAATTCCAAGTGAAGAAAGATTGTAAATTGAATATCGCAAAAGGTATCATCTATCATTTTACAGGTTCTACAAGCATAACCACTTTTGAGGTATCAGGCCGTTCCACATGACGCATTTTACAAGGCACATTTTCAAGCATTTTGTTAAGTTTCTTCACAACACTATCGCACTCCATCTAAGAGAGTTGTTAAGAAACGTTAAAAAAACTCAGATATGAATGCAGTAAATATAAAAGGTTAACAAAGTGATGGTTACACAATAAAGATATTATATATTTTTTGTAAAAATATCATAAATGGGTGATTAAAATATATTATTATGATGCAAAGTGCTCCCGTTTAAGAAACGTTATTTCCATAGTAATAATTCACAACAGAAATCTAACTAGATGAATAATTTCTACGTGAACAAATTAGGATCTCAATATACCGAAAATATTCATTCAGACATTTAGAAAAAAATAATAAATTGAACAAAGAATATCCTTTTCCATAATTTGCCCTTCTGGCTCTACGATTATATGTATTATATTTATATACACAGAGTATTCTAGAATAATCATCATTAACAATAATATTGGTGTTTATAAATACCATCAATTTTTTAAGTAAGCTCAATGGAATTACAGTTCACGAAAGATGCATAAATTTGAATAAAGCAAGAACGACGGGTTTTGCAGAATAAAATGGCACCATGATGTATTTCTTTGGCTTCTCATCAGCTGCTCACAGCTCCAAGACATTATTAAGGATATCTACGGAGACAGTTTTAATATACCTATATTGAGTTTGCAATTAATAGTGTTCTCTGAGCTGGTTGGTTTAGTTGCGAAGCTTTTGTCGTCCTTCTGAACAACATCTTCAGCGTTCATTTTAAACAAAAAATCAATCAATCACTATACGCATACAATGCTAATAATAATAATAAACACTTTTCCCAAACACTAATAATCACACAATGGAAACTTTCGACGTTACGTAATCACACGAAAGAGAAGGTGAAAACATCCAGTTAACAGGGCAAGGAAAGACTGATAACCACTTCTTCTTAAACGCACAAGTCAAGTTCCAGGCGCTTGATGGAGATTGCCTCGGCAAACTTAAGGAGAATTTCCACAACAAATTTTGGATCATTAAAGCCTTCTTGGACAAGAAAAGTACAGTGTCTGAATCAACCAATTTCTTTTGGATACATAAGTTAGCTTTCTCAATGTGGATCCCAACAGGCAGCCGCAGCAATATGTAGTAGATGAACTCTTAGGGTAAAGTTAAGATTAGTTGGTATACGATAGATGACTTTGGAAGTCGCCTCGTTAACATCAATCTTGTGTTCTGTATCCATGAAATGAGACAGAATAGTGCCATGGATGGATTTTGTTTGTCCTTTACTTAACCCCGCAGGGGGATGTTCGGAAATCAGACGATAAACACGCCTACTTGTACGACCTTTGTCACTGGATCCAAAGGAGCAGTCAAATTGGTAGTTACACATAGAAGAGGCGAAATTATTTCTGTATTTGATATTCTATTTGATATTACATTTTGTTAATGATTACTAAAACTTGAGCGTTTTTCTTGAACTGTAATTCCAATGACCTTGCTTAACAAATCGATAGCATTTCAAGACATCAACATTGTTAATGACGATTATTCCACAATATTCTATATATATGTAGAGCCATAAGAGTAAATTGTCGAAAAAGATATTCTCTGCTCAATTTATTTAAAAAAATCAAGATCTTCTAGTTGCATATTCCCTCATCCGCATAAAAAGGACAAGATACTCGAAATATTACTGTAAACCACATAGCCATCACATGTTCAATATTAGTTACAATCAATTTGTAGAAGGATGCATATATCCGATAGCTTTTGTAATCAAGATAACAATAAGAAAGTGTTATGACCAGTAGTACGACCTAGTAGACTATGAGCGAATAATGACTTAATCCGCTGGCTAATGTGTCGTGATCGCACGTCAACAACAGCAACAATAACAATAATACCGCCTGACCACAAAGAGAGGAGGGAAGACTGGACGTTGGTAACAGAGCTTTCTACGGTCTCAAACAGCAATCACAAAAAAAGTTGACAGCGTTTGAGTACATATATGTTTAAAATGACTTTGAGAAGCACTAATGTCGTTGATAAATTAAGACAGTGAACAACCAATAGGATTTCAAAGGTCATTAGTAGCGTGAGAGAAAATTTGGTCATAAATCAATAAGTGTGGTGAGAGAAATACAAATATACATGTAAAAATGACATGTAGAAAATTAGGTCTATATGTATATCTCAGAAAGGCTTATTTTTGCTTAACACCACAAGTATTTCTGAATTTCAAGGTGTTTTTGTACCTATCAATGGAACGATTGAGGCATATAAAATATTTTGTAATGATGAATTATGCGAATCCTTGTAACGAATGATAAGTTAATGTAAGTTGAGGTATGATTTCTCAAAAGACTATTGTTCACCAGATAAGTGGTGTACTTTCTAATTTATGAATGCATTGCCAAAATGCTTTACAACACAAGCCAGTGCAGCATTTCCTGCAAATTTTTATTTAACTTTATTAGTGAGATATGACGAAACAGCAAACTGTATATCTAAAACAGTTAGCCAATGTATCAAATTGTAAGACTGAGACTCAAAACATTTAAATTAACTGTTATCTGCATAAAAATGGGGGATTAATTGGAACGTATTTCCGAAAGTTGATAATGTTAATTTCATTAATATTCACTCTCATGGCGTAACATTACAATTAACGACACAGTTAAACTTTAAGCACTGGTAAGTACCAACGGTCAAGTGACCCAACAAAGGCGATTTTCCCGCATATAATGCACATATTCATGAAAATAATGAATTACAAGACATGAAACTGTTACACAGGATACTCTTCTTCGAAGTGTGACAAGAATACCTCTTAGTTTTGGATTGGAGTTTTAGCAGAGTTATTTAACCACATTCTATGCATGTAATTATCTAGGTCTTCTAACCCTAACCCTAATCTAACTCGAAGCAACCCTAATGTCACCCTCATTAGGCTAACCTAACTGTGACCTGTCCCTAGCCTAAACCTTAACGTAATCTTTCGCAAACCTAACCTGAAACTTGTCAGATATCCCATTTAATAACATATCACTTAATTAAGCATATTTTATTCATGATTACGATATCATTTACTAGGTTTCACTAACATGCTCACTGAGCGTTTCAAGGTCACTGGTGTGATCTTACTCCAATGGTACTTACTGGTGCTCAAAGTTTAACTTGGCGCAAGTAACCACTTGCTCATGTGAGGTTAATTGGTTGGGAAGGGATAAACAGAGTCACGATGAACCAACAAGTGTTAACGCAGACACAGTATGAGGTGACCACCTCATTCAGTTCATGGGTTAGCGAATACCAAACACTGATGTGATAAAAATTCGTAACACATTCCAAGCAACAGAAACCGGTGATCCAAAATGATACCAATTGAAAAATCATCTCCACTGTTTGAATATACTCAGTCGACTTCAGAATTACTTACATAGATATACTATCGGACGCAAGCAACAGTAATAATAGAACACACAAGTCTGCTACACATCATCAGCTCGGAGATGCTGTGTTTCACAGGAGTGACTGCAACCTTGGAAGCTTAAATGTGATCACACAGCAATATATTATCGCCTGCATACTCAAGATCACATGGACACCACCACGAAGCACATCTTGCAGATGCCTTCAACAAAAAAATCATTGGTGGTAACCCTATCTACACGACTGCTGGCTGAGGAAAGTAGAGAAAGATGGTTGTGTGTCTTCACTCCATCTGTAGTGCTTCAGGATATTGACAAACTTCTCAAGGCATCTCTTTCTATAAAATAATCATACAGAATAGTCCTGTACAACGAATCTAAGGTAACCTTGATATCAAAGAAATGCAACAATTGTTGGCGTTGGGTAGGTGCTAAGATGTTCTAATAACGGATGACAAGTGTGAACATATGATTGATGCATAGCTGCCAGTGAAGCTGATCTCCTCAAAAGTAATCCAATTCTATGAATTCATTGGTGAATTGTGTTTACACTGAAACCATATGCAGAGTGGAAATTTGATATAATGCTATCAAGTGAAGAAATATTCAGAGCAGTAAAAATATATACACTAAGTGCACAAACCTTATGTAAGTTTTGAATTTCTTCTTGTTCATTATTCGATCGATCTTTGTGAATATCTGTTTTAACAGCTACAACAGACTGTCTGCTTCGTATGGCCATCAATTTTTTCAAGCTTATAATATTAACAATAATGACAACTGAATAATTCGCCTGTAAGAAATCCTCTATCTGTTTCAACCGAACATTTAACATACATTCGTCTATATTAGAATTAAATCCAATAATTTTTGGTCGAATATTATCCGGTAAATTAATACCATATTTTCGTAGATTTTTATTTGAATGTGATACATTATCCTTTAATACTAATTGGATTAAAGGTGGTTGTAAATTGTCTTCAATCTGAAATTAGGAAGTAAATATTCTAAGCGTTTTATTCATAGCAATTTAATAGGTTTCAATGAGATAAAATCTAGCTGTTAAAAATATTTCCTGATTCTATCGATCTGGTCTATTTTATCCAATAACTTAACGAACATAGAAGCTTTTGAAGCTTAACATAATATGTATGCCGTAAATATAACACTAATACTTTTCGGTATGGAAATGTAGGACAGTAGTTTACGATATAGTGATATTACATGCTTGTATGAATAACTGAATTTCTTTAAGGCAAAATTCTTTACCTAAAACTATGCACCACTGATTGATTGAGATGAGCGGTTGTATCCTATTCATATCAACCAGCAGAGGTTGCTAGCCAGATCGAGGTGATCTGGCTGGTTTTAACTTAGAACTCTGCACAGATATGCATCAGCTCGGGTCGCCATTCCCCCTCCATGTAGTACACAAAGCAAGAGAAGAGAGGTTAAAAAGAGAGATAATAAACAGAGATGTAAAGGAGAAAGATTAGTAATATGGAAGAACAATATTGTTTCATTGGATATTACAAATCACAAAGAGTGAATGCATTAGCTCTATTGAGGACGATTTTGGGACATATCACCAATTGTATCCAGCCATTGGTACTTACCATTCCGAGGACCCCAAACAGACACGAGTCTAGACCTCCTTACATGTCTAGCTTAAAATAACTGTTGTGGATTTCATTGACTAATGAAGCAATGTTTTGGTTTCGAACCTGACGCATCCTATGTCAGCTATCATTGCCCGTCAGTCGAGGAAGGCAACTGCTAGGTGTGCATGCGTAACACATGTCCTAACCATCTCAATCGGTGTAAATTCATATCCTCGTCTAGTGTTCCCCCCTTACCCAATACTCGGCGCCTAACCTCAATATTGCTCACCTTATTATACCACTTCACATGGGAGATAGAACGCAGGCACCTATGATCAAAAACAGATAGTCGGCCTTTTCATGTCTTCCACTTTCAATGGCCATGTCTCACTGCCATGAAGGAGGATAGAGCGAACGGCTTCTGAGCAGTACATACGACCTTTGGTCAACAGCCGGATATCAAGTCCACCAAGCCAAACGAGTCTTCTGTGTCTCTGCTGAGATTCCATCAGCGACCACGCCGCTGGCATAGGCTGACGCAACTTCCAAATAAATGAAGTGGTCAACACGCTCTACCACTTCACTCTCTATCTTTAAGCTAGGAGTCAATGTAGTCCAGTCCTGTAGCATCATCTTGCACTTGACAGGAGTGAATCGCATGCCAAACATCGGAAGATTGCTGCTCAAGGTGTTCAGAAGACTCTGCATTTTGTCAGCATCTTCATCCAGGAGGACTATATCTGCATATCCTAAGTCAACAAGACTAGTAACAAGTCAATCCCTGAGTCGCTGAAGTCAGCTGGGTCTAAGTCCATTAGTACAATATCTATGAAGAAATTAAACAGAAATGGGGATAGTGGGAATCCCTGACGGACACCACTAGTTATCACCACTTCAGATGACAACTCTGCGTAGGCTCTCATCTGGCTGTGTGATTTCGAGTAGAGTGCCTTGATCAGTGCGATGTATTTTTTCGGCATTCCATTCACAGCTAAACATCGCCATCGGTCAACGGAATCGAATACCGCTTTCAGGTTAAGAAATATAACGATTGTAAGACACTTCCAAAAGCACACAAACCCCCTCTGATCATCATTCTACTTTATCTCTTTCACTCTCATCATCTTGCTTGTCTAGTACTGTTCTGCATGCTAGTCAGTCATCTTCATTTTGAGGTGATCTAAACACCAGAGGGCCGTATCGCTCATTTAGGACCGAGAGCACCAACCATGGATCCAGTGTGACTGGGCTCAGAGAACCGAATAGACTTAAACCAACCGATTAATTGGGCGAACCGGTTCAATCGTAAATCAAATTCACAATTTGCAAGTTGGTCAGAAATTTTCAGTCTAACACAGTTCGACGGGTGAAATTTCACCACAGTTTTACGCACATTTGCTTGTTTTCTAGATTACCGTTTATGGTATCAAGCAGATCGCATACTGTGGTTGGAATAATTTGGTTTCCAAGCGAAATTATGGTGAAATTTCACCCCTCAAACTGTCTACAATACAAATTGTGAATTAGATTAGGCATCGAGTGTTAGATAAGAAGAGAAAGTCAATCGATGACGTTGTGAAGCTATATCGATTCAGATGGCTAGAACATGTGTGACGCATGCCTAACCAACGCCTTCGTTGACAGACAAAGTTAGCTGATAGAAGATTAAGTTGGTAAAACCAAAACTTGAAATCAGTCCATGAAATCTTTAACAGTTAGTTTGAGCCATGTTGAGAGGTCCTCGGGATTCTAAGAACCGATGGTTGGAGACAATTAGTGATATGGCTCAAAATCGTTTTCAATGGGTGAGATGCATTCCCTCTCTATGATGATCTGCGATATCCATCAAAATCCTATTTTTTTCCATGTTACTATTCTTTCTCCCTCACATTTCTGCTTATTATCGCTCTCTCGAATCTCTTTTGTCATCATTTGTGTGGCCACTTGAAATGCTGCACTTCTGTGCAAAGTTCTATGTTGAGACCAGTCAGTTATCCAAACACAAAACTTATTTTTATTGTATAGATTTGCAGTGAGTCAATCTATTATTTCCTAGTGTAAGTAACTCTCACTCTGTTATTGATTGTTTGTTGTGTCATAATGTAAATCAGTCGGTTACATATAATCCATTATGATTACTCCTGTTCAAGTTCAACTTTCCGGTAATACACGTTTCCGAAACTTCACAACTGTTTTTTTGTTTTTACATTGTGCATAATGGCAAATCACAATGTTTGGAAAATATTTAAAAAAAGTGAAGAACTAGTAGTATTCACGTGTAGGCCATTGTAATCAGTGCAAGTGTACATTAAATTTACTATGATTATTGTGTTAACAAATTATGAAGTCGATAAGTAGTGGACAATAGTAACTAGTGTCCAATCAAAGTATGCAATACAGTCCAATAGCAGATCAATTACGAGCCCGAATAGCTCAGTGGTAACGTTTCTGACTGCAGTACTGGATGATGCGGGTTCGAATCTCAGAAGGGACATGAGTTGCTTCAAGGTTGCAGATCTGCCTTGCTGACTGGTGATTGCCAACTAGCGTGAAACCTAGGTCCAATGCTTTCTGCCGATTGCCTCTATCCATCTAAAAATTTCAACCGATGAAAAAGTCGTCAAGCGAAATGTATACTAGTTCAACTGTTAAAATATATGAAAGCATTCATGAGTTGTATTCTTAGAAAGATTAAAGTAATAAATACGGTACATTTTTCTTAACAACCAGTACAAGAGTCAGTGTGTTATCGACCTAGACGGGATATAAGCTAAGGCGACCTTCAAGTAACATCACATGACAGCTCCTTGAGTGGAACCCAAACGGGCGTCTGAGGGTGACAAAATCATGTGGAGAGGAAAGGTAAGCTTGTAGAAAGCTTTAGGGTCATCTGAAAGTGTATTAGGGATGTGCTGCTGATTCCGTGTGTTTCACTAGGAACGAACAACAACAACAACAATAGTAATCGCAATGATAATAAAAGCGTAATAGCAGGGGTTCGGTTTAGTTGTTTAAAATTCTGTTATATTTTCAAGAGAACTAAAATGACTTTGTTGTGTGAATAGTAACAAAACGGAAGTATAGTGTTTGTAACAGTTTAGATTATTGAACTTTACAACAAGAGACGGAGAACGACAAGAATATAATATTAGCAAAGTAACAAGAACAAAGTTAAAAATATAACTCAACGGTTGAGGAAAGAGTATAAGTTGGGAAATAAGAAGTTTACTATAATAAGCTAGTCATTATATACAAAATAAGTTGGTGAATAAACGCAACTACACAATGAAGGTAGATTTTAACCCAAACTATTCTCTTCTATCACACTGGCCCTGATGATCCTCTGGAAACCAGTAACTGCTACAAAGACAAATACAAGTAAGAGTAAAGATAAAGTCGAAGAATAAACTTCAGAGGAAACTGCAGCCGAAAAGATAGTTAACTGGTGTTCGCTTAAAGTACCATAAACATATTTCATTTTTTAATAATTTGTTTGCAGTCAGAAACACTATGAGGATGATAATGTTGAAAATATACTGCATTAATTCGAATGCATTAACTGTTTAACTAGTGAAAACAGTATCATTTCATACTTGCTTCCATGCTAGCCAGCACTATTTTTTCACTGGGGAGCTGGCGGTGAAAAAAAATCATACTTGAGGTATTTCCGGCATTGAGATAATTTTGATTAAGCAACAGAAAAAATGATACACACTATAAATTTTTGCATATTGGTTTTAGATCCCTTATAGGATTCTCCCGACAGATTAAAATCAAACTTCTGTTTAAATAGCCTTAAGCTTTAATATCACCTTGTCATCTGTGAATCTTTGGTCACAACTGTGCTTTAACACATAACTTTGATATCATTATTCTTATTTGAGAAACTCTCTAAATTACAATCACTTGAAATTTGATGCTATTTCCAATCAGGGTTATAGAATCCATCTCATAAAGAAAGAGAAAATATGCACTATTTAGAAGCTTTCTACTAGTGGAGAAATTTTCTTTATCGACGAAATAATCTTCAGAGGCTGTATAGTCGTATTTATATTTGCCAAAAGTGTATGATAGTCTATTATTAAGTAATAGGGGAGGCGGTGACATAATAATAGACTAATATACGTTTTTAGTAAATATAAATACGATTGTACAGCCTGTGAAGATGATTTTATCGATAAAGAAAGTTTTCTTTGATGAATTATCTTTTATTTCCTTCATGACTCATTGGGTGTTTTCAGCCTTGTACTTATTTTATTTTTCCCTTGGGTTCCAAGTGGAAAATAGGGCTTCTACAGCAAACCTCTACTCCTACTCGCCACACGATCTCCTTTATGTCACCCTCACACCGACGACCCTCTCATCGCTCCCCATTTGAATTCCACTCGGGCGATGGCCTGCATTGCGCACGATGTCATTCGACGGCCTCCTCAATGTATACCAGATCCATCTGCATTTTCTCCTACATATTTGTTGAGCGATCGGCTCTTGGTTGGTTTTTTCCCACAGTTTCTTGTTGCTAATTGTTTCTGGCTGACCATTTGATCTTCATTATGGAGCTATTGATAAAAGTCTGCAACTTGTCGGAAATCCTTTCCGTGACACGCCAAATTTCTGACCAGTATAGAAGGACCGACCTCGTCTAGTTTACTAGCTTGCTAGTTTTTTAGCCGGTCCAAGGCCCGCGTAAAGGGGGAGGGTTGGGCGTGGCGCTAGCGACCGTACTCCACAAAAGCTATCACACTGCTAGAGAAACTTCGACTCACAACAAATATATTGAAATACAAAATAGTCAAAAAAAGTCTTGTCCTAGCAAGAAGCAAATGTGTGTTTCCCACAATTTTTATGAGTCTTAACACTTCAACGTAAAAGTCAACTCTAAAGTGGTTTACGATAACACACTTTCTTTCAATCAGAAATCTCGATCGGTCGGTCGGTTTTCGACATAGAACTTTGCACTGATGTGCGGCAGTTCAAGTCGCCACACTCCATGTAGCACACAAAGAAAGAGAAGAAAGTAGGAGAAATGCATAATATAGACAGTAAACAGAGGTGTGAGACAAAGGAATAGTAATAACGGAGAACAAAACAGTTTAATTGGAAATCATAAGTCACAAGGAGTGGATGCATCTGCGCCACTGAGAACGATTTTGAGCCATGTCACCAATTGTTTCCAACCATTGGTTTTTACCGTCCCGAGGACCCCAACCAGGAAGTCTACATCTTCCTACGTGGCTTAGACTAACTGTTGTGGATTTCATTGACTGGTGCCATGTTTTGGTTTGACCGCCGCTAGCTCTTTTCCAGTCTGGCCCTATATCAGCTAACATTGCCCGTCGAGGAAGGCGATGACTAGGCATACGTAGCACATGTCCTAACCATCTCAGTCGATGTAATTTCACAGTTTCGTCGATTGATTTCCCCGCCTTACCTAGCACTCGACGCCTAACCTCAATATTGCTCACCTTATTATACCACTTCACGCAGGAGATAGAACGCAGACACCTATGATCGAAGACAGCTAATCTTTTCATGTCTTCTGCTCTCAATGGCCAGGTCTCACAGCCATAAAGGAGGACGGAGCGGACTGTTGAGCAGTACACACGCCCTTTGGTCGATAGTCGGATATCACGTCTACGCCAGAGACGGCGTAAACTGGCATATGCGAACCTAGCCCTCTGTATTCGTGCTGAGATTTCGTCGGAGATCAACCCGTTGGGGCTGATGGTACTTCCCAAATAAGTGAAGCGGTCAACGTGCTCTACCACTTCACTTCCTATTTCTAATCTAGAGGTCGGTGAAGTCCAATCCTGCAGCATCATCTTACATTTTACAGGGGCGAATCGCATGCCAAACATACGAAGATTGTTGCTCAAGGTGTTCAGTAGACTCTGCATTTTGTCAGCGTCCTCGCCTAGAGGGACTATATCGTCCGCATATTCTAAGTCGACGAGATTATTCCCTGGTAGCAAGTCAATCCATGAGTCGCTGAAGTGTTTTAGGGTTAAGTCCATTAGTACGTCTATGATGAAGTTGAATAGGAATGGGGATAATGGGCATCCTTGACGGACGCCACTAGTCGTCACCACTTCAGATGACAACTCGCCATAAGCTCTCACCTGGCTGCATGAGTACGAGTAGAGTGCCTTAATCAGTGCAATGTATTTTCTCGGCATTCCCTTTACAGCCAAGCATCGCCAGAGAACCTCTCGGTCGACAGAATCGAATGCTGCCTATAGGTCAAGAAATATAATGATTGTCGGATGCCGGTAGGAATGCCTATATTCTAGAATCTGTCGAAGGGTGAAGATATGATCAATACACCCTCTACCTGGCCTAAAACCTGCCTGGTTTTCTCGTGTTTGTGTCTCCCGAGCACCACTTAGTCTACGCAGTATTATTGAGCCTAGGATTTTAGATACTATATTAGTCAAGCTAGTCCCTCTGTGATTATCACAAGAAGACTTGTCTCCCTTCTTGTATATCGGGATGATCAGTGACTTACACCAACCCGATGGGACTTCCTCTGATTCCCAGACGCTGCCTAGAACCTCAGTTGACGCAGACAGTAAACTGTCTTCACCGTACTTAAATACCTCTGGAGTCAATCCATCAGGTCCCGCTGCTTTGCCTTGCTTCAGATTAGTGACAGCTTTAGTAACCTCAGTTAAGGACGGAGGACCTGTGTCTATATCCCATTCAGGGAGGTGTTGGATGTCCGGCAGGTTAAGTTTGGCCCACAGCCACACTTAACCTACCGGACAACTTAATCAATCAGAAATCTATCAGTAATTTGTTTTTGGTTTACTAGTAACACTGTTAAGAAGACCGTAAACTTGAACTAATACAATGATGTTCTCTAAAGTTATGCATTATTTCCAAAGTCAAGGTTCACTGGCTGAATTTCTTCACATTTGAACATTGGATACAGAGTTATAAACTGAAAAATACCTATTTCAGTTTTCACAAATCAAATCTGATTGATTGCCTAATAACAAAAAGCATGTACCTATTCTCTCCGTTGCATTATTGTAAATTATTGCTTTTCAGTTCAAATTCTAATGATTGTGGATTTAAAGATCGTTAACAGTTTAGAAAATATCTCAGACCTTATCGATGAAAGTGAATGGGTGAGGTAAATTAACAACGACTATGTTGCTTGTGCATCAGTGGCACAGTGGTAGACTATCCGCCCACCATGAATGTGGTTCGGGGTTCTATCCCTGACCGACGCACTGCTTTACCTCAATATGCCAGTAAAATAAGACCGGTAAAGAGGCAAGGTTAGGCATGAGACTAGCAACCCCATCCCGTAAAACTAAAAATACCACTGCTACCGAGACTTTAAGCCTCTATCTTGAAATCCTATGTTCCACTAGGAACGTAAACGAATAAAAAAATGTAGCTTGTCATAAGGGTGTCAATGCATAACACTTTAAGTATGCAAAACAAAACACTAAAATAGGAAAAATACAAAAATAGGAAAGGGATGTAAACAAAAATAAAACCATTCAACTTACAAGATTGACAGAACATTGAGTCTTTTTAATCAACTTTTGCACATCACTGGATAATACAACAATATACTCAAGGGATTTATTTGATGAATTAACAGGAACATTGAAAAACTGTTTTGCACTACTCGGTAACTCATCTATACACAATCGAACTGATGATGATTTCAGTAAGGCTTTGTAAGCGCTTGGTTTATTAATTACACCTTGTTTAGATGAGGATAACAATAATAGTTGAGATGTAGTTAATAAGCGGCAGGAATCATAAAGTCGTTTAGAACCATTAACTAAAGAATTTAATGTGCATCTTGATAAACTCATGAATGAATGCGTATATCAATTGTTCTTCTTACAATTCAGATCACTTCTTCCCTAGAAAATAAGAGGGAGAAAATGGTATTTTAAGGTTACGAGGACTACTAAACAGACATACTATCAGCCTATGTAATTTTTGTTATCACATCGACCATGTATAAACTCACCTGATAAACAACTGCTGCGACAACCAACAATATTGACTAACTCTCTGAATCTCGGTTGGTGGACTACATTAAGAACTTATGACCGACTATTTGATAATCAGACATCTAAACGAATGAATTATACATCAACTGGTGCGGCACAAGCCAATCTAACTTATTCGTTAGTGTGTGCAGTGTTGTCACGAAGTTCATCAGTACGGTGATGTGTTTGAGGAGTTTCTGACTATGTTGCAGATATGCCTTACTAACTGTTTGATAACGTAAATAGTAATCAAGAAAGCAGGCAAGTACCAATTAAAAGAAGTGATCTCCAAATACTTACATCAATTAGTAATATATACCATCATATCTAATGTAATAACAGTCAGCCCAAGAAGCCAGCCAGATCAATCAATCCCAGTACATCACTGATGTTGTAGGCCTAGAACGAGTGAAATAGTAGGCTGATGTTTAAAATACTACTGTGTAGCTAGTAAACACTACAGGTCAACACAAATGGTGTCTACCTCCCTGCATACACAAGCAGTATATACAATAAAGTTCCTGATTGTCGAAAAACGTTGTAGGCTTCTTGATTAAAATCTGCTTTGACTATCATTGATGCTCCTTGACGATGCGAATTCAAACATGATTGGCATTATTCAATTAACATTTCTAACTACATACAGTGTGATTACATTAATAAATCTACATAACTATATTAGACAAGTTTATAGAGTAAGCTGTTTGAACAATGTGCATAATCACAGTTATTATCTTTAAACTACTGTCTTCTGTAATAAAATAGAAGCAATGTCAGAAACGGTACTCAATAAACATTTCTAATCGACTACATATTGAAGTCTGCATAATAATAATTATTATTATTGTTCCCTTGGGTTCCTACTGGAACATAGGGCTTCAACTGCACGCCTCCACTTGCTTCTGTCTTCTGCAGTACTTTTCACTTGCATCCATGTTAATCCATACTGTTTCAACTCTTCTTCACTCGATCTCCTCCATGTCACCCTTGGACGTCCTACTCGCCGCTTCCCTTTCGGGTTCCACTCCAGGGCCTGACGCGCGATGTCACCCAGCGGCCTCCACAGCAAGTGTCCAGTCCATCTCCACTTTCTCCTGCATATTTGTTGGGCGATTGGTTCTTGTTTTGTTTGTTCCCATAGTTTCTTGTTGGTTGTTGTTCTTTCCGGCCATCTGATCTTCAGTATAGAGTGAAGACAGTTGTTGATAAAAGTCTGCAACCTGTTGAAAATATTCTTTGTGACCCGCCAAGTTTCTAATCCGTATAGAAGAACTGACTGATTTGACGTTTGTATTGAAAATCCGAATTTTGTTGTTGATGCTGAGTGACGAAGATTTCCAGATTGGTTTCAGGTTGATGAATGTGTTTCTCGCCTTCCCGATTCTCGATTTGACATCTTCGTCCGTTCCTCCTGTAGTTGAGACAATGCTCCCTAGATAAGTGAATGAAGTAACCCTCTTTCAAATCCCTCCCGTTGATGGTGATTGGCGCTGGATGCTGCTGCTGCTGGTTGGTTATTTTCATAACCTCCGTCTTGTCTATATTCACCTGGAGTCTTGTCTTTGCTGCTTCTTCGACCATTTTATCGGTTTTCGCTTGTAAGTCTTCGATTTTGTGTGACATCAAACATAAATCATCCACGCGTGAAATCCAGGTCTTCTAGGTTCTTCACGTCGGTCCAGGATATCCCTGTCTTCTCGTTTCCCACTCTCTGACGCATAATCCAGTCCACCACAATTAGGAATATCATTGGTGATAATAAGCACCCTTGTCTGACTCCTGTGTTTACTCCAAACGCTTCGCTGAGTTTTCCGTTGTGGATCACTTGAAATGTGCCGTTGTCGTAAAGCTGTTGAATAAGGTTGATGAATATTTGGGGTACGCCGTAGTACTCGAGTAGTTACCAAATTACTTCGCGGTCAACGCTGTCGAAGGCCTTCTCAAAGTCTATAAAGTTGAGGTAGAGATTTGATTGCCATTCCATACTTTGTTCGATTATGATGCGTAGAGTTGCAATTTGGTCAGAACATGATTAGCATTTCCTGAATCCAGCTTGTTCTGGTCGGAATTCTGTATCCAAAGTCTGCATAATAAAGAAATATTATAGATCGAATAAGCTTGCTTATAAAAGCAACTCTATTAGAAACTGGATTTTCCGCAACATTACTTAGAAACTATGAATAAAGAGAAAAGGTTTCGTCAAAAACTATAAACGAACAACAATTATCTGAATGGGTTGCGTTCGCATTTACAAGAAGAGTCAGTCTTCTAATGCTATTGACAGGCGAAACACCAATATCTTTTTCTATTTACTAGTGTCAAATGATATGACGTAAAGACACTGGTGACATTCAATGCGAAATGTAACAACACAACTGAATGCACTGAGATAAAACATATATTCCTTAATTATATGTCGCTTGAAGTTATCACACCTCAAATTAAAAAAGAATCCAAACAGAAAAGGATCAAATATGTGACGCGGAACACAGTAAGCCAACAAAACACAAAAAGAAACAAGAAATATTTATTGATTAAACTTTTCTAAGCTTAAAGGAAGACGTGAATACATCTATCTTATCAAACAGTTACTTTTTACATCATATCCCACAACCTGGCCTGGATACTCTTAACCTTCTTCAAACAGATTATCCTACTTGGATGAAAATAATACACTAGGTACCATGAACTTATCAACTGGACATTAACAGCAAGTCCAGCAAAATGTACATCATATCATTGACGTATGCCCTTCTCATACAGACTCATTTTCTGCTATCTAGGGAATACCTACGACTTCTGTAAAATATAAATTTGATAAACTAGCTCTGTGAAGTAATAATGTGTATGTGAGAGAGCGAGAGGATAAGGTTAAAAATGTAGGCGAAAAACGAAGAACTCAGTGCAGAAAAAACATGTTTATTTACAATACTAAAAACACACATTCAAGATATTTACAAAAAGTCATTCATAATAAGAGGGAAAAGTTGCATTTTATGCCTCAGAGGTTGACGCTTTATTACTTTCCATACTATCAGACAAATTCTTCAGACCGCCAACGATGAATGACTGATGATAGTTTAAGTTTTCTACAACCTGTCCACCTCGATTATTTTCCAATAACATGACTAGTTCACTGCGTACACCATTTAATCCCTTGGTTGACAAAGCTGCATAATCATTCAATTGTTTTACAGTCATAATTCTGTTGTTAACCATACCACCTAAATCGTAAAAAAAAAGAAGGATGAACATTAGATTAAGACGCAAGGGCAAGTGCATATATGATTCTTCCTCAACATTTGCTTAGCTTACAACCACTAATTAAAATAAACAGAGTAATGATGTATCCGAGAAAATAATCTCAAAATTATGAAGGAGAAATGTAAGGGTGAATAACAACTATACACGCATACATGCAGTTTTTATTGTCATAATAAGGGTAACTCCAGAATTTAGATATCTCGTGCTAATAGTTCTCTTAATCACTTGCTGTTGGGAAATTAGAATTTTCTGGATACCTGGGAAATGTCTGGAATAGGCAAATAAAATTTCATCAACTGACCTCCTGCTAAGTTAGTTTCTATAACTATCCTATTAAACAGCTGTATGAAGTGTTACAGCTGGTTTTTCTACTGGATTTCTTATCTTACTGAGGTCTACCACTGTAGATTCAATTGTTTCTAGGATCTGGTAGTTCAACTGACCTGCAAAGTTTTCATATTAGATTATTCCTTTTACCAAGCCACATACGAACGCAGTCTAGGATCTTTTTCAGCGACATTATTTCTCAAGTTCTCGAAATAAGAATGACTTCCTATTTTCAAATTTATAGAGGAGAATTCATGTATGAAATGTGTATATTTAGTACTCTCCACTATTATTACTGCATACTGCTAGAACACTATGCAAGTGATGCCAAAAAGAGGAGGACATAAATTCTAAATATAGTACCTGACATAACTGCATATCACACAACTATAAAAACAGAGAAAGAGAAGATGGAGAATTGAACATAATGGTGTTAAGGTTCATAAAACAGCATTAAACAAGTCAGAAGATAAATAAACACGATACGAAGACTTAGAAGGATACGAAAGTATGCACGCAGAATCACTGCAACTGTCTCTGAGCAACAGTCTCCAATCGGTCATACTACAAAACCAACACCTGAAATCTTTACTTCTAGAAAGATAGGATGAACTGATACACAGTACACTCAACTTTTAATAATCAATAGGACGCCTCATTGATGTTTTAAACAATGCAAGCCGATGCAGGTAGGGCTAGCATTTAATAGTGGCATCATGAGTTTTATCGACCCAAGAATTTGCATCTAACTACAGTTACACACAAGAGATAAAGGAAGGACCATTAAATGCATGTACGTTGTCTCCACACTCCAACTAAACGTGGAACCTGGCTTTTCTAAGCTTATGATGTGTGCAACTCCATGTTGCTGAGCAATGTTCTCTCCGTAGGAATTTCTGAGAAAGGTTGGGAGGATCAAGAGAATCAGTTACTGGAAATGCAATCGGATACGACAAAAAGGAAACAAATCATTCATTTTCTATCTTCTTTTCTATCTCTGAAACTGATATGAAGAAACAAACGCTTCCCGGAATTTTATTTCCTTAGTAAACATGTTTTTTTATTGTATTATGTGCTACTCCTCTTTTCTTTAAATTGTTATTCGAATGTGTGTGTGTGTGGCTCATTTTAAGTGTCCTAACTGTATCAAGTTAATGTTCAAATAACATACAGAACGTATTACTCGTATGGAATAGTCTTAGACTATATGATTAACTAGATAGACT